AAAGGAAAGGAAAGGAAAGGAAAGGAAAGGAAAGGAAAGGAAAGGAAAGGAAAGGAAAGGAAAGGAAAGGAAAGGAAAGGAAAGGAAAGGAAAGGGGAAGGGAATGGGAAGGGAGCCTCCTGCTCCTCTCCAGGGAGGCTGTGCTCGTCCTCCTCCCCTAAAAACGCTCCTTCCTTACCTGCTGCAATCACCTGCAGCTCTCCCTGCTGCCTCGTTCATGGTTTGGAACACTCTGAAATACCACAGGAATTTCCTCCTCCTCCTCCATCAGTCTCTCCCGACAAGAATCTCCTGCTTAAAGAAGAACCCAAACATCCATGATGCTTTCTTGGAAGCTGCTGGCCCTGGTTTCCACCAGAGTTTCATTCAACCACCCTCAGCTGTGAAATTAAGATGAGGGTGGACAACCCTGCAGCATTTTGATGGAAATCTCCCTTTTTTTTGCAGTCATTACCTGAGGTGGATGTGAGGAGCAGGCTGGCCACAAAGCCTCTCACGCCCTTCTTAAAATCAATTCCATGGGGGAGAGTTAGCAATGTGCAGCATGTGATAAGCCATTATTACATAATGGGATTTATTCCCGTGGATTACCAATTATCCCTTTTATTTCTCTTATGTTTCAAGCTTTTACCCTGAATAGCAAATTTGTTAGTCATGACAAGCAGGGGCTTAGTCATAAAAGACAAGTCTTTGGGTGAATTAATCCTTATTTTCCTCCATTATGGAGAGCTCATTTTGGAGTGAGATAAGCAAAACTCGATTTTTCTCTCGGAGCAGGTATAATCTGCCATCAGAAGAATGCAGAGAGCCATCTTTTCCCAGCAGCTTTGTCACATACAACGTGACATTGTCTGGAGCGCAGACAATACTGAATTGTCACCCAGCTGGATCTATTTTTACTACTTATCACCAGATTAGGTGAAGCAGCCTGGTAGGAATGTGAATTTTCAGCCAGATTTGGGGGTGATCAGCGCCTCCCTGGGTCTGTGAGCTTCTCCCAGGCAGGGCTGGGTGCCTGAAGGTGGGATGGACAGTTTGGTGGGAACCTGCTTTATAAAAACCATGAAAATACAGAAAAGCAGAGCTTAAATACTTCATTGTTTTCACCTTCATTCGTTTCTTTCACCTCTCAAACCATGTCATTTTTTCAGCTGTACACTTGCAAGAAATCCACTTAGATACACGTTTTGCTGAGCTTACTTACACCTGAACATATGAAAATTGCCTTCCTTCCAGCACCACAAAAAGAGAACCTGGGTTTTCTCTCCTGTTCCCCCTTTCCCAGCTCCCCAGTTTAGCTCACCCTGGCAGACCAGATATGGTTTGACAGCAACTTCTGATTTTTCCTGAAGAAATTCCCCAGCTGAGCCAACTTCAGCTCGGTAAACATCCCAAGATATCAGAATAATGAATGGGAATAATAAAGGAATAACAAATCCCTTCCTCCTCGAGGACTGGGATCATAAAGGAATGAGAAAATTCCATTTCTCTCCAGGGGAGCCAAGGTGTTGAGGCTGCAGGAGAACCAGGGAGGGGACAGGTGACAAAGCAGGACAGGGACAGTGACAGAGGTGATCCCACAGAAATGGGGGTGATGCTTTGTCAAGGCTGCCCCAGAGCAGAGGCTGGACAGAGCCACAGAATAAACAGGGATTTATTCAAGGATTTATTAAATTGATCTCCTCCTTGGATCCACCTTGGGCAGCACCAGAGCCCAGCCAGGGCTGCACCCAAATGACCCAAAATGGTCCCAAAAAATGGATGATTGGTCACAAAATGATCAGTTCTGCTCCACTGGCACCTTGGAGTTCATTGTCCCATTCCAGCTCCAGCCCAGGCAGTCCCACCCTGCTTGTTTTTCTCTCTCCAGCCCACGCTGTTTGTGCTCCTGGGCTGAGATTTGGATCATTTGGGTGCCCAGCTGGAGCAGGAATTGTTTTGTCTCCCTGCCCAGCAACACTGAATGTGAAGCTCAGAGCTGCACACCAAAGCAGCACAGAGCCTGAAAAATAAAAAAGCCAAAACCTGAGGCATCAAGGGAACATTTCAGCATTACCATTGCTCCTTTCACTGCTTCCAGGCCCCAGGAATGGGCTCTGGGTTTGGGAGGGAGCTGCAGGAGGAAGCAGCAAGGTTGAATTTCTGCTGTGCTGGACAATTCGTGCAAGGAGCAGACAGCGGTGCTGGCAGCAGGGAGAGCAGCGTTAATGCACATCCCATTGATCCCGGTGTCTCCGCAGCAGCCAGAGGCAGGAAATTTGATATCTTGGTGTCATCGGTGCTCAGATGTGGCTCAGGGAAAAGGGATGTTAAAGGATTTTTCCCAGGAGGGACCAAAAGGGGTGGGATCCCCGTGAGAAAAAGCAGTTTTAAATGTCACCCGGAGTTAATGTTCCACGGACACTGAGAGGGCACCAGGGAATGTTTGCAAAGGCAGAGCGTGGAAGTGTTTATTAGGAATAAAAATAAATACATGCAGGCTGGAGAACAGGCAGAAGTGAGCTGGAAAGTGCTGAGGAGGCAGCCAGGAGGAGCTGAGGGTCAGGAATTATGTGCTCTGCATCCCTGGGGATCCTCAAAAGCATGGACACACATCCACAGCTCAGGAGGGACTGGGCTACAGGCAGGGGGAAAATTGCACAGCAAAAGGAACAGGATCTGCACCACTGACACTCTCAGGATGGTTATCCCAGACCAAACATCTCCGTGGACCACACAGGTGAGGATTGTTTTGGGGTCAGGGCCACAGGGGTTCCTTTCTCAGACCTGCACAGGAGTTTGGATGTGGAAATGGAGCACAAAGATACTCCATGAGAAAGTGCTTGGGGCTGTGCTGGCAGGGATTGTTTCTCATTTGCAAGACACTTCAATATATGCTTACTTTAAGAAATGTAAAGTACACACATAAATCTCAACCTCAGTATAAATTATTCACGTTATGCACAGTCATATACTTTGTGTTAACCCACCTAAAAAAAATTAGGTTTGCTCAAAATAAAAAAAAATCGATTTTACCACTGTACAAAACAGCAAAATATTTCAGGTCATTACTGAGTACACAAAACATTTTTGTCCAAGTTACCATCTTTACATTTGGGTTAATAAATCACCTAAATAAAAGGGTTGTAACTCGGAAAAAACCGGTTGTTTTTACATTATAGGAAGTTATAGAGCAACCATAAAAATACCGACTGGGAGGGAAAGCACTAAAAACACCCAATCCCCAAGCACGAAGGCTCCACGGGGATGCAGAAAGAGTTAAGGAGCATCGCAGGCAGCTGATGCCATCTTCTGGTGTCGCTTACAGCGGCGATTTAAACCCCCTGTGCCCAGTCGGGTGGGATCAGCATCAGGAGCAGGGGAGCTGCTGTTTGGGTGTGCTTTGCCCCAGGGCAGGATTCGGGATCAGGTTCAGGATCAGCATCAGGAGCAGGGGAGTTGTTTGGGTGTGCTTTGCCCCAGGGCAGGATTCGGGATCAGGATCAGGATCAGGAGCAGGAGCAGGAGCAGGAGCAGGAGCAGGGGAGCTGCTGTTTGGGTGTGCTTTGCCCCAGGGCAGGATTCGGGATCAGGATCAGGTTCAGGACCAGCATCAGGAGCAGGGGAGTTGTTTGGGGTGTGCTTTGCCCCAGGGCAGGATTCAGGATCAGGATGAGAAGAACGCTGCTGGTTTAGGTGTCCTTTCCCCCCAGGGCAGGATTCAGGTTCAGGATCAGGATCAGGAGCAGGGGAGTTGTTTGGGTGTGCTTTGCCCCAGGGCAGGGTTTGGGATCAGGATCAGGTTCAGGATCAGCATCAGGAGCAGGGGAGTTGTTTGGGGTGTGCTTTGCCCCAGGGCAGGATTCAGAATCAGGATCAACATCAGGAGGAGGAGAGCACTGCTGTTTTCGGGGTCCTTTCCCCCAGGGCAGGATTTAGGATCAGGAGGCAGCACTGTTGTTCGCGGTGTCTCTTCCTCCGGGGCAAGGATTCAGGATCAGGATCACGGAGCGCTGCTGTTTGCGGTGTCCTTTCCCCGGGGCAGGATTCAGGATTCAGGATTCAGGATTTAGGATTTAGGATCAGGATCAGGATCAGGGAGCGCTGCTGTTTGCGGTGTCCTTTCCCCCGGGCAGGGCTCAGTGAGTGCGGTGTCACCGCTGAGTCAGGATGGGAAGAAAGGCAACACGGATTTTCAGAAGGCATCAAAGGCTTACACTTTATCACAACCTCCCGGTGTTAATAACCAGCATCGTTCACCCAGAACCCCACTGGTTCTCAATGCCACCCATCGGTTAATTAGGAAACCACCTTTGGCCACCACCTAATCGTGAGACGCAACTGTTCAAGACACCAGCTGTGGACTGTTTTTAATCCTTCCAGCCTTCTCAGACTCCCCGGAACAATTCCTGGACGGGTGATCTGCCGTTCCCTCTCTGACCGGGCTGTCGGTGCCCACATGCCGGGGGGATGCCCTGGTGGTACAGCCAGCCCCTGGCACCGGCGGGGTGGCAGCAGAGGGACACGGGCAGCTCCGGCCGTGTCACCCCGAGGAGCTCACTGCTTATTGTCACCCTTCTTCCTTTGCTCCTTGCTGTGAACCTTCTCCATCGTCTTTCCCCGGGTAATTCCACTTGTGTTGGAGTTAAACCAGAGTCCCCCGCATTGAAGGCGGGCTGGACTAAACTGAATTTACTATACTTAGTCACAGAAATAATCCTAACTTCAGGAAATTCATCAGGCTGGGAGGGTGGGGAGGAGCTGGAATGGAATTCCCAGAGAAGCTGTGGCTGTCCCTGGATCCTTCCAAGTGCTCAAGGCCAGGCTGGATGGGGCTTGGAGCAGCCTGGGACAGTGGAAGGTGTCCCTGTCTCTAGCAGAGGTGACTTTTAAAAGTCCCTTTCAATATAAACCATTCTGGGGTCCAGGGATTCCAAGACTGTCTGTTTCAGATTTTAGTCCTATTTAACCTACATTAATGTCTTTATTTTTATTTGAACTGGAGTTACTAAGTTACAATACAGGCTGATAAACTGAGTTAAATTCATAGCAAAACACAACTTACATGTGTGCTCATTAATTTTATGAGATTAAACCATTAGAAACCATCTAAAGGACACAGAGGTTGCATTTAGTGGTGGAGCGGGTGACTGAGAGACAAGCAAGCCACTGAGAAAATAGGGAATGTATCCTGAAAATCCTCTTTCCTCCTGGAAGGCACTTCAGGAGCAAATGCTCTGTTCAGCTCCCACATCAGGGAATGACATGTTGGGCCCTGTCACTGCAGCAGGATGGCACAACCCAGCCAGAGGAGGGGTCTCCACATCCCCCCACTGCTGCTGGGTCCTGCAAGGAACACGTCCAATGTTTCCTGCATCATTACCTGCTTGGATCAGCAGTAATTATCTCCCAAATTCCTCTGTTCAGATGGAAACACTTGGATCTTCAGAGCTCACCTAACTTAGGAAAAACTCCCCCTCTCCCTCATGTTCCTTCTTTCCCAAGCAGCGCTTTGCTG